AAGTAACATTTATACCTTATACACGCTTATAAAGTTGAATCCCAATCAGTGGTTGTGGAGCATCTGCATATTCTTGTACCCCATTGACAACCATTTTTAATCTTCGATACAGGATGAATCTATCAAGAAATCTCCGATGACCCATGTATAATGTCATTCTACCATGAACAAGTTGATAATAACATGTATTATCTTCACATATAGGGCATGCTTTATGTCCTTTGACACTATACCCAAACATGTTTTCATAAGCTGGAAAGTCATTGATTGTGTAGAAAAAAATGGCATGCAACTTAAAACTCTGTTTCCTATATTGATCAAACACTAACAAACATTCATCCCGCAGTTTCTTCAAGTCCTCAATCAAAGACACCAAAAACACATTTATATCATTCCCTGGTTGTTTTGGCAAAGAAATCATCAAGCTCAACAATATATATTTGTGTTCCATACATAACCAAGAAGGTAGATTATAAACCACCAACATAATAGGCCACGAGCTATAGTCTAAGAATTCTCGACTCATTGCCATTTTTTTGATCTGCATGCCATGTTAAGTACCGACCATGCCATGTTAAGTACCGACCTCCCAACATTAGTTCCATACGAGAGGGGGTTCGAACTCCTGACCTCTCTTAAGGAACAAGAATTCACTACCGCTCACGCCAACTAAGGTGGTTAATATCTCTTTATCTTTTAATCATAAGGAATTGGTTCTCAAATTGATGAAGGATTGTGAGAATATCATGGCTACTCACTATCAGTTAAAGGAACATAACATCATGTTAAGAAGCTTAATACAATGATAGTGGATTAAAAAAAAAAAAAAAACTCTTTGAAATGGGAGACCTCAATGTTGAAAATGTTCAATTACAAAAAGATTGAAAGTCAATAGGGGTCAAGGAACAAAACTTGTGTGAGGTTATTGCTATTGTTACTTATCTATTTAAAATAATGTATAAAATGGTAAATATGTAAAAATCAATTGGAGACAAATCTAGACTTAATTATGACTCCACAAGTTCCCACCCATAAGAACAACTGACCAACTCGACTATTACTTTAACTAATAAAGTTTAACTAGTTGGTTTAGCAAGATACAAAAATCCATACATTGGATGAAGCAACAAGTCATACTATGGTATAGTATGCAAAGAGGTAAGTATATATATTTTATGATAGTACAAGTGTTAATGCTATTACTGATGCAAACCCATCCACACATGATCCGCTAAGAGTCCCTATTGGGCCCATTACAAGGTCCATGACTAAATTTTTAAGGCAATTATACATTGGGTTTGTGCAGCATTGGTTGAAGAGTCATGAAAGCCCAATAAGGAATCCAACCGATGATGCTCAATACATAGGGCCGGGTATTCTACTTGCATTCAAGCTGATTTGGAATAGTCCTAATCACACAACTTTCCTACTTAGATTAGGAAAATTGGTTTCCTATTTTAAGTTGTTATCTTTATTGCTTTCTTTGTTATATTTTTTAGAAGGTTTCAAACTTTTAGAAGCTAAGGTTTCTTTACTAGATTTTTAGAAGGTTTCTTTACTATAGTTTTTGAAGGTCTCTTTACTACGGAGTAGATTTTTAGAAAGTTTCTTTATTAGATTTTAAGAAGGATACTTATTAGACCTTTAGAAGCTTTATTTATCTCTTTTTTCTACCCTAGATGGGATTGTTTCAAAGCCACTTTAACCTAGGGGTGTGTGTATTCTGATTCGAGAGGGCAAGTTATCAATAAAAATTCTCAATTTTTTTTACATTTGTGCAAGAATTTTTCCTTTTATTCATGGGCCTATAGAATAGTGTTCTTGATTTTGTGGCTCTATCAAAATCGGCAATTTATATCCTGCACCAGGGCGTGCATTGCATTGTGCACCCTGATGCAAAACGACATCGTTTCAATATTTATTTTTTTTTTTGGAAATTTCGCTACCCTGTGTTGGCGGTTAATTTTCTTTAAAAAAATCTCAGGTTCAAAAATGTACATAATTTTATACTAGAATACACATAATTGTATAACAAAATACACATACTTTTTAAAAAAAAAAGATAATACATATAATCTAACATAATACATAATATACATAAACTTTTAACATAATAAACATCATCTCTTAACATAATACACATAAATTTCCTGTTTCAGATGTACATAATTATATAAAAAAGATGTACATGACTGTATAAAAAATGTACATAATTGTATAAATAAATACACATAATTGTATAAACAAATACACATGATTTATAAACAAATACACATAATCGCGTCAACTCCCTACATAAATTACCAAAACGACGTTGTTTTGGGAGGCGCAGGGTGCACAGTGCTATGCGCGCCGTGGTGCAGGGTATAACGATTGATCAAAATCAAACCCCCTTAGATTTTAAGAATGTGGACCTATCAATCTTGGAATCAAGGAACTTGGTAGAGTAATATTCTAGTTGTTAGACGATTATATTCTTTAGGAGCTTGAGACGTGCTAAGGGTTGTTTCTTGGTCCTTCATGGAATTGGAGTTCAAAGGTGATCTCGTGTGCACCAAAAGTAACTCTTTATCATTGAATTTGAGAACATATTGGGGAATAATTCCTTGAACAAATTATCCTTACAAGGTTCATATCAATAACCCAAAATCATGTATAGTACATTGAAAAATAGGATGTTAAAAAATAGTACATGCCCACTGACAAGCAATTGACAAACATCCTCACCAAGCCTTTATGTGAGACAAGATATGCATCACTATGACATGAAATGGGAATGATAGAAACGAATTGATGAATGATGAGCTTTATGATCAAGTTCTAAGAAGCAGTAATTTTTTTTCTCTTGAAACAACTTAAGTTTTCATAAAACTTGAGTTTTATAAAACCAACATAACATTTCTGGAAACAACATGAGTTTTATAAAGCAGTAGGATGAGTTTAGTTCCAACAATCCTCCAGTGAAGAAGACCATAAGAGAAGAAGAATCAGTTAGTTCTTGTGCTCTAGTTACAAGGCATATTGTCCAGGGAGAAGTTGGTGCAACTGTTGAGTCTTGTGTTTTGCATGCATACATGTTTAGGTTGTAGAAGTTGTAGGTCGAGGCATTAGTGCTACCCAAAATAAGCCGTTTACTAGATAGTAGGCACAATTGATGCAGGAGTTAGTGAATGTACTGTAGGTGTCTATAGGGAGATTGAAGGGTCTAATATTAGACCTATCAATACTGGCTGGCGGGCCGGACTGTGGGCCTAGGCGAAGCGGGACAAAAAAAGCCCACTCTTTGGCGGGCCTGGGTTTTATAGATATCAAGTTATATAAGTTTAGGTTCTCCATTTTCTGTCACGATCTCTCCCTAGGGTTTCTCTCCTTCCCCCTTGGATCGCCGAGGTACTCTTGTTGCTGTCCGGATCTTCTCTACGGTGTAGCGCTGGCTTTCTCTACTATCTTGGCTATGGAACCGACGGCGCGAAGGGGTGTAGTAGAAGGGTTATCGAGACGATGGGCAGATATGGTCCTCGAGGAGGAGGACGAGGTGTTCGCACCAGCCGGGAACGTCGACGCCGAGGAGGCTGTGGCGGTGGAGGAAACATGGAGATTAGTGGGACGTTTCCTGACATCGAAGGTCATTAAGCTCGAGTTTATGAGTCAGGTTATGGCATCCGTATGGAAACCGGTAAAGGGTGTGCAAGTGTCTGAGATTCAACAAGGTCTTTTTTTGTTCGTTTTCTATCACGAGACAGACATACAACATGTTCTTGAAGGTGGACCATGGTCTTTTGAGAATCATACTCTGGTTTGTAGGCAGGTCCGGGATGGTGTAGTCCCTGTTACGGTACCACTTGATGCTGTTGATATGTGGGTACAAATTCACAAGCTCCCTCTTGGGTATACCTCTGATGTAATCTTGGAGCAAGTTGGGAATTTTTTGGGGACTTTTGTTAAGATTGATGACAAATTTGCTGATGCACCATGGAAGACTTTTTATCGCATTAGGGTTTCGATTCCTGTTATGAAACCGCTAAAGCACCGTATGAAGCTTTTGAAACGAGACAAGACGACCTGCTGGGTGAATTTTAAGTATGAGAGGCTGCATAAATTCTGTTTTTTCTGTGGTGTGCTTGGACATTTGTATAGGTATTGTTTGAAGGCTCGAGACACAGGTCTATCGTCAGATCAATACCCCTATACTAATGATCTACGAGCCGGGCAGAGGAGGAGACCGCAGAAGGTGGGTGCGCCGTGGCTCTTGGATAAGGATGGGAAACTGATGCAACCGACGACGACCGTGGCTTCTGGACTACCGGGGGGTCTGTCCGCCGATGCAGCGGCTTGTTTGGATCCTAGCCGGTGGGGGCCCGAGCCGGTTGTGGTGGCGGCGATGAAGAGGATGCGGGAAAGTGATGGGGATTGCATGCATGCGGGTGATGGTGATCAGGATGTTACGATGGCAGAAATCTCAAAAAACTTGTATGTGGCGGCCTGGCGGGTTCTGGCTCCCAGACCTGCCCATCATCATGAGTACCCTAAGCTGGAACTGTCATGGATTGGGCAATCTACAAACAGTTCGCAAAGTAGTTGACCTTGTGTCACGTAAGAAGCCTGATTTTGTTTTTCTCTTGGAAACTAAGGTTGGCAGGATACATGCTGAGCGTATTTGTGTCAAACTTGGTTTTGATGGCCTTTTTTATGTTGATAATAGTGGTTTGAGTGATGGTCTAGCTTTACTGTGGAGGAAGAATAATACTGCAAGACTTATGAGTTTTTCGAAGAATCACATTGATGTGGAGGTTAGTATAACTGGTTTCCCGAATTGGCTTATGACATGCTACTATGGTTTCCCGGAACGGAATAGGCGATATGAGGCATGGTATTTGATTAAGTCGCTGGCACCATGATCTAACCTACCATGGGTTATGATCGGTGATTTTAATGATCTCTTGTTCCAATATGAGAAACGAGGGGGGAATCCACATCTTGATAATATCCTATGCGGCTTTATGGATGTTATTGGACAATGTGGGTTATCTCAGCTGCCGATGAATGGTTATCAATTTACATGGGAAAAGGGGGAGGGGACAGCCAACTGGATTGAAGAGAGATTGGATAAAGTGCTGGCCACAGAGGGTTGGTGTGGTGTTGTACGAGGAGCCTGTGTGACGAATATACTGACAAGAACTTCAGACCACTCCCCTTTGTTCTTGGGAATTCGTGAAAGTCGTGACAGGGCAGGGATGAGGGGTTTTCGCTTTGAAATTGCATGGATATATGATGAAGGGTGCAGGAAGGTGGTGGAGGAGTCATGGGAACATGGGAGGAATAGGGGCCTCCAGGATTATATCCTCCATTGCGGTAATCGACTGTCACAATGGGAGGGGGGATTGTTTTCATAAGTTTGGTGAGCGTATCATGGCTCTTCGTAGGAACAATTAAGCTTGCGGAGGCGTACTGACCCAACCTCATTGGCTGAGTTCCAACGTCTAGAAGGAATGCTGAGTAATATGGAGGCGCAGGAGGATGCTTACTGGAAACAACGAGCCAAACAACATTGGCTTAAGAATGCCGATTCCAACACGACTTACTGTCACAGGTATGCCTCTCACCGTAGGAAAAAAAATACTCTATCTAGACTTATGAATGATAATGGGGAGTGGGTGGAAGGGAATGCCATGTCGAGTATTATCATTGATTATTTTGATAAACTATTTTGTTCTGGAAATCCTATCCCTGGGGAATCATTGTTTCAGAGTGTGACGCCAAGGGTCACCCAGACTCAGAATGAAAGTTTACTACGACCTTTTGAGATAGATGAGGTCAAGAGTGCCCTATTTGCAATGTTTCCTGATAAGGCCCCAGGCCCTGATGGAATGAATCCGGGATTTTATCAACACTTCTGGGATGTGGTAGGGGGGAATGTTTCGATTTTTATATTAAAATAAAATGCTTTAATTCATGCTCCTTTCCCCCTGGTTTGAATGATACGGATGTTGTGTTAATCCCTAAGAAGAATATGCCAGAACTGGTTACTGATCTAAGGCCTATAGCATTGAGCAATGTGTTGTACAGGATCATGGCTAAAATGATTACCAACAGGATGAAGCCAATGATGGGAGATATTATATCGGACTCGCAGAGTGATTTTATACCTGATAGGCTCATCACTGACAACATCCTAATAGCTGAGGAGGTGGGACATTATCTGAATAGAAAACAGTATGGGGTGGTTGGTTGGGGAGCACTTAAGTTAGATATGGCTAAAGCCTATGACCGTATGGAGTGGCCTTTCCTGCAAGGAATGCTTGTAGCTCTGGGATTTGATGAAAGATGGATTAAACTCATTATGTTGTGTGTTTCTTCTGTATCCTATAATTTTCTGATTAATGGCTCACGCACTGAGTCACTTACACCCACGCGTGGTCTAAGGCAAGGAGACCCCTATCTCCCTATCTTTTTATTATCTGTGCGGAAGGACTGTCTTTGTTACTACAACAGGCGCAGAATAATGGTTTGATTCATAGGTGCAGAGTTGCTAGAGGTGCCCCCGATCTCTCATTTATTTTTTGCAAATGATAGTCTTCTATTTTTTAAGGCTAATAGGCGGGAGGCCAGTGAGATTAAAAATTGCTTGTCAGTATATGAGGCCTTCTCTGGCTAGGTGGTCAATTATCATAAATCTAATATATGCTATAGTAGAAATACGAGTACAGAGGACAGGGACGAGGTAGCGCAAATTTTAGGGGTCACTCAGGCTCCTAATTTTGGGAAGTATCTGGGCTTACCCTCATTTGTGGGAAGAAATAAGAAAACAGCCTTTGCATATATTGAGGACAAAATTAAGCAGAGGATTGGGTCGTGGAATAAAAAGTTGTTATCACAAGCTGGTAAGGAAATCCTGTTAAAAAGTGTGGCTCAAGCTATGCCTACTTTTTCAATGGGAGTTTTTTTACTGCCTATATCTGTTTGCACGGCTATTGAAAGGACAATGAACATGTATTGGTGTGGAACAGGAACTGATCGTGGTATTCATTGGAAGGCATGGGACAGATTGTGTATCCCAAAGAAATATGGGGGACTGGGATTTAAGGATCTAAGAGCTTATAATTTGGCAATTTTGGGTAAGCAGGCATGGCGGATGCTAACTAATACTGACTCTTTGGTGTCTCGTGTATATCAGGCCAGATATTATCCGAAACATACCTTTTACGAAGCATGTCTGGGAAATAACCCCAGTTTCTGTTGGCGTAGTATTATGGCAGCTAAGGAACTGGTGTGTGGTGGAGTGAGACGGCGTGTTGGGAATGGAATTTCTACGCTAATTTGGGAGCACCCGTGGCTCCAGGATGATTTAAATCCCATGATCCATAAAGAGATGTCACCCCAGTTAGCAGGAGCTAAAGTAAGTGGATTGATTGATCCAAATACTGGGACCTGGGACCACCATATTCTCTCGGATATATTCCAGCCAAGCGACATACCCCGAATTCTTAAAATACCAATTTCCCCAGAATATGATGATGTTTGGTATTGGTATGAGGATCTCAAGGGTAGCTACTCTATTAAGGATGGCTACAAGCGTATTGTTGGGAGCTTTACAAATAGTAATGATGGGGCTTTTGATAAATGGCTCACCCTATGGAAGTTGAAAATTCCCCCGAAGTGGAAAACATTTTTATGGAGAGCTTTAAGTGATATCCTCCCCACTACGAACAATTTGCTTATAAAGAGGGTGGATGTAGATCTAATTTGTGCCATGTGTGGAATCATGCAAGATGACACAATGCATTCTTTGGTATCATGTGGTTATGCCAACTCCATATGGGCTCTATCTAACCTTCCACTCCCCAGTATTGTGACAAATATTTTCCATGAGAGGTTTAGTGCAATGTTAAATGTTCTAGACACTAATGGAATTATATATGCAGCTGCAATTCTTTATCCAATCTGGAGAGCACGAAATGGAGCGGTTTGGGATGCCTGCTTACCTTTGCCCAGGAAAAAAATAGTTGTCGCGGTTGCCACCATGCATGCATGGAAACCGTACACCATGCGCCGGCTGCCGACGGAACATCCACCGCCCATAGGGCTGTTGCTACCCCCTCTCCCTGACTGCCGCTACCCCCACTGACGGACGGGACTGTCTCAATGTCGGGGACCGCCGATGCCATAAACCCGCGGAGATGTTATATGGATGCCGGGTATCACCATGCTACAAATGCCGCCTCGGTAGGAGCCATGTTGCTAGAGGCCGACGGAGGATTTGTCGCGGCGTACAGTGCCTCGTTGCCGAATTGTTTCTCCCCACTCATGGCCGAGGCATTTGCGTGTAAGGAAGCTTTATCTTGGTTACGGGACCATGGCGAATAGGCTATCCGACTTTACATGGATTGTCACACTCTACATTGCTATCTGTCCTCATTAGGACCCCCACTCAAATCGTATATCGGCTACGCTGTTGATGCCTGCAAGACATGCATATCTACAACTATGTATTGGGACTCAATCCCCCCTGACTCTATTATGGTTTATCTCTAAATAAAACCGCGTTGGTTGCTTTCAAAATTTAAAAAAAAAAAAAAAGTTTAGGTTCTCCAAAAAGAAATTCAAATAAAAAGGAATTTAGGAATTATTTTTTCCAAATTTATTTTTCTGACTGCGCTAGATAGAATTTTCTCGGACAATATATATATATATATATATATATATATATATATATATATATATATATATATATATATATATATATATATATATATATATATGGTTGCGTTCAAATGAGGACATCAATATATAGAGGACTGTGCGGATAGATAATAGGCACACGACAAATTAGTATCATGCACATAATTTAATACACAATGGCACACAAGAATACATGTAAACATCAGGTATCAACCCCAGGCTCTATTAATTAACAAATCTATGCACACGACATACAAATTATGGCACACAACTACATTGGCCATGCACACAACATACAGACTAATGGCACATGTACGACTACATCTGTCCTCACAGTCCTCTATAATATAGTTGTCCTCATTTGAATACGCTTATATATATATATATATATATATATATATATATATATATATATATATATATATATATATATATATATATATATATATATATATGCGGGTTCAGGTGCGGCAGTGTCTTACGGTGCGGTTATTTCTTACGGTGCGACAACACCAATAGTTCACCAAATATGCACCATCAACGTTAGGAAATACACCACACAAAACAGAGTAAACAGAGCCCTGCATCACCAAACACACACCATTAGGTGTGAGTAAAAACACCATACACTGTTCGGAAATACACCATTGGGGGTGGTGAATTATATGGTGTATTTTTTTGAGTCTGTGGTGTATTTTGTGATGTTTTATTACATTTCATTGGGGTGTGTTTTTATTACACTGTTGGTGCATATTGTGAACACTGTTGGTGTATTCTGGAATTTGACCGCACCGCCGCACCGTAAGACCCCGCCGCATATGAGCGCTCTTCTATATATATATATATATATATATATATATATATATATATATATATATATATATATATATATATATATATATATATATTACTTTAAAATAAGTGACGGGTAGCCCGCAGCCCACCAATCCTGCGGGCCTAGGTGGGGTGGGCCAAAAAGCCCCTTCCTTGACGGGCTGCTATTTTTAAAACACACCCCTACTTTAAGTAAGGGGCGGGACGGGACGGGCCAGCGAGCAAAGTTCGTTTTGACGGCTCTAGCTAAGATAGTAGAGCTAGCTTTCAAGGATTGAAGTGCAAAAAGACACTCATGTCCAAATGCAAGTGGATATGATCATGATATGGGTCATATGCAGGGCCGGATTTTAGGCTGTGCATGCTGGGCTACCGCACAGGGCCCCCAATTGTAGAGGGGCCGCAAATTTTATAGGTCCAATATTTAATTTTTACCTAGCTAGTTTAGAAATAAAAATTAAAAATTTTCAATTAAACTTAAAAGGTTCTATGAAGAGATGGTAAGAATGTGTTTTTGTTCATTGTTGTATTTTAACTTGGAAGTCAAAGGTTCGAAACTTGCATGTATTGATTTTAAAAATTATGATTTTGGTAGGGCCACATTTATTTACCAGAACAGGGCCACCAAAACTTAAAATACGGCCTTGGTCATATGGCTACACAGATGCAAGTAGAAGAACTTGACATAACCTTCACTGAAGTTTAATTTAAGGAGAATCAGAGATAAGAGAAAAAGATGCTGAACTAAAAGCTGAATTTGAAAATTGAAAGGGTCAAGACTATGGAGACTATCATCAAGATATGATGACTTGGTGGTAGGACCCCAGATGAGAGAAGAGGAGGAGTTTGCTCTCTCATGGCTAGAAACTAAGGATATTGCCCAAGCTACTAGGCTGCTCATAATCTGTGAATCATATGTATTATTACAATTAGATCATGAATATTATACTGGATAAATTTTGAATGATGATAATTTATCCATAATATTCTCCAATGTATATGACTATGGAGAGTTCCATTGAGGAAATGATGCAAAGTGAATGTTACCATCCGTGCAAAAATATGCTCAAGCTAAGCACACTTGACCATACTATAAAAGTTTGGATTTTGGCAATCATACCACACAAAACGTCAATTAAAGTAGTAATGTCACTTTACTTTCAATCTGAGTCATTGCCATAGGTATAGGATCCTCATGTGACTCTTATGACTAGTGAAAAAGTGCCAAAAAGTTGAAACATTTTGAATCTCTTTGTAGACTTTAACTGATGTTTTTATAAATGCCATGCATATTTGTGGGAACAAGGGACTGAAAATTATATGCAGATTTTTCTACAAGATCCTAGCTTTATCCATATCTTCTTTTTTTTTTAATTAAATTTTATACATGGTCATACTCATATTCGAACTTGTTCTTAGAAGAAAACTAAGACCCAATCTCAATAGTTCATGTGAAAAACCTAACGTATTTGAAGCAATTATTAGAAAAAAAAAAGTATGATTAAATTTTTAATTTGTACTTTTTTCCTACTTTAAAGTGCACTTCATATAATATAGAGTACACTTTAAAAAATGCACTTTTTGTATTAATGTCAAGTGCATTTAGCAACATTACATGGTGCACTTTGTAGAGTTGTTAAGTGTACTTTATTAATAGCAACATTATATTCAACACTGTAGAGTGCAATACACCTAGTGGAAAGTACACTACACTTAGGTTCACATTTTAGAACTTAAAATTTAGTTTTTGGTTTGGTTTAGAGTTTACTTTTTTAGTCAAGGAGTTTTTTTTTTTTTTTTTTTTTTTTTTTTTTACTAGTTAGGAACTTAGAATTTGGTATTTATGGTTTGGCTTTAGTGTTTAGTTTTTTGGTTTAGGTTTTAAGATTTATCAACAAACGCACTCTATAGTGTTACAAAGTGCACTTTAAAGTTAGCGATAGTTACTAAAATGTCACTGCATTTTCCCCCACTTGCTTTAAAATTGGTTGTGTTTGTATATATATAATTAGAACATGTGGTCTAATATGGACCAAACTTTGTGTATTGAATTATTTTCTTGGGCTTCAAGTCGAGCAAACTCAAGAAGGAATTTTTATAAATCAAACTAAGTATTCAAGCAATTTGATTAAAAAGTTTAGAGCAAATTGAAAAACAATAGTCAAAGTTCTTATTATCAATACTTTGTTAAGGATGAACATGGATGAAGATGACAAGGATGTCTATCAAACCAAATATAGAGGCATAATTGGATTTTTACCATGCTTAACAACAGGCACACTAGACATATCCTATGTAGTAGGAGTATGCATGTGTAAGATTCTAGTCAAAGCCCAAAGAAGGTTATCTTACTGCTACAAAGACAATACTACACTATCTCAAAGGAACACTAAGGGTGAGTTTGGTTAATTGGTTCACACATAGGAATCGAAATCAGAATGAGTTTCAAATACTTGGTAATAGTAATGGGTTTTGGTGAAAGTATTTAGCATGTTTGATAGTAAGGTGGAATGGGAATGGTTACTAATAGTAGTGCTTGAGAAGGAATAAGGGAATGAAATCCTTATTTTATTTGGGTACGGGTTTTTCAATTAATGAGGTATTTGAAACCCATAGAAACAATAAGAATCACTTTCATATTCATTCCTATGAGCAAAACCCGCCAATCAAACACACCCTAAATGTTAATTTATGTTATCCAAATGAAAATACTTTTGAATTAATTGGCTTTTCATGTGTTGATTTTGTAGGTTGCAATCTTGATGAAAGTTTTGTTTTAGTGGTGATGAAGTGTGTGAGAGGGTATCCTCACACTGGATATCGTTAGGAGGAGTGAACTAGAAGGGAGTTGAATAGTATAATCACGAAAGTGTCGAGTGTTTGAAAGCTAATTCAAATAGTTGAGTCACAAGACTTTCAAAGACAACAAAATATAATGGACAAGTGATGAGCAAAGCAATTAACAAGTGAAAGGTAAAAGTATGGCCTTGGATCAAGCCATTCCGCCTATATGCTATAGAGTTTTCCTAGGGTAGGGATCGTGTGATGAACTGTCATGGATCAAGGAAGATGCTACTCAATGCCAAAGCGATTCCCATAGTCATTGGACTTCCAATTAGGACCCATTCTCATGGTGATTAATCTAATTGGAGCCATTCATCAAACATATACTGTTCACATCTTCTTCCAATCTCTCTTTTTTTTTTTTTTTTTTTTTAACTCAGATTGGAAATGTGAGTAATGTGTGGCTATAGTGTTGTTCCATTCTCATGGCAACAACATACATCCACGATCCTCTTGTATAATTGGTACCTAATTATACAAGAGTCAATACAAAGCACATACTCACAACAAGAACCCTGGCTAAGGCATCATATTAACCCCAAATGCAATTTGATTCATTCAAGCATCATAACAAGAGAGCTAAATAAAATCCCTAAGTGAATCTAGTTAATCATACTTTGAATGGAAAAGCAAACACAGATTGAAATAGAAACCATTGCAAGTATAACCCGATGTACGAAAATGTAAAGGAAGCAAAGTAAACTTAGCTTTGATCAACGTAGCAATCTGAAAGTCATGTGAAAGCGGTAATGGGATGGAGTGTGAGAG